GTTTAGAGTTTGGGGGTTTAGAGTTTAGGGTTTAGGGTTTAGGGTCCTAGTGAAGACTGCTGCTGAAGCCTGAAGCCTCCTTTTGTGATGTACTCAAATCTGGGAAGCCTGTCTCTTCAAAAAAGGGTTTAGGGTTTAGGGTTTAGGGAATGGTTTGCCATGCAGTCCGCAATAAATGCTTTGCAGCTGGTGGTATGACTCTACAGCAGAGTATACTACAACATGTCCAATGCATTGAAACCTTTAACTGGTACCCTGAACCCAGAACCACGCAAAGCTCCCCGGCCTCGACGCGGGCTTGGGCCTGACTTTGTGCTTCTGCTTCTGCCACTTCCCGCACCTGGGAAACTTCGCTTCAGAAAGGGCTTATACTTGGGTGTCATAACCAAGGAATCGCAGAACAGGTCTATCGGCTTTGAGTGGCTTTCAACCTCCACTGAGGCTTGCACATCACCACCGACCTCACCCCCAGGCTGCCAGTACCTCCCCAAGACTCAGCCCTTCCCCGCAAGTCCTGCCATGCTCACTGCCATGTCGCACTCGATCAAGAAGACCATGGGCCTCAGGTAGGAAACTCGGCAGGGCCATGAACTCCTTGAGAAAGTGAAGGAGAAGAGAGATCTAGGGTCTGCAGAGGAAGTCTGATACACTGCAAATCGGAGAGTGCAGCCGGTAGCCGGTAGCTTCCTGGGGAGCGCACGCCTCCCCGCCTCCACCTGAGATGTTGTGCGTGCAGGATGAAAGTGCACCAGTCCACGGCAGCCTCGTATCACCGCCGCCAGACGGGTGATGGGAGCCGCCGTCCCTCAGCGAACGCGAAGCATCGGCTCCAACGTGGCCGGTCGCCAACCAGGCCGAAAGTTCTTGGCTTCGAGCTGTCCTGGTTGCCGGCACGGAGTTCATCTGCAAGACCTGCAGAGTACCACTTGTGTCCCTGTGCCAGGAGGGACTTAGTTGACCAGTAAAAAAGATGAAGACTTCTCGACTCAGAAACCCTTCCCCTACACAACGCCGCGATCTTCATCCGAAAGGTCTTCACGGGATGTAAAAACCGTACCTGAGCCTCAGATGAATGTTTAAAGAACCGGGGCAGCTGCAGGCAGCGCATCGCTTGATCAGCTGCGCCGCCTCCGCCAGACTGTCTTGCGCGGATCTGCAACCCTGTCCCAAGGGCTCCAGTTACCTAAATAGTAGGTTAATTACTAGCCATACATTATGTACCCCAGTAACCTACTATTTAGGTAACTGGAGCCCTAGGGTGTTGCTGCTGACTGCTGACACGGTTCCTCACATGGCAAGGATCTTATGGGAATTCACCACAGGATCGTAAAATACACGCGGTGCTCTGTGATTGTATTCTCGTATGTGATCTCAGCTCACCGGACACTGCAACATCAGGTCAGCTTTCATTGGGTCTTCCGCATTGCCTCTCATGCGACATAGACGATCACATACTCTAGTAACCATTGGCCTCTGCCGCCGACAAAGACGCTGCCAGGGTCCGGAACTGCGCCTGCATGGCTTAGTGAGCCCAAGGGTGCTGCTCCTGTGTGGTTCCTGTGAGATCATCTGCATCTAGTCACACAGAGACTCTGCCGTATTCGGACTCTAGCGGCTAAAGTTGCCGGGTGCAGTACAACTGAAAGCCACTGAAGCTTTCTGCGATGCTAAACTTTCATGAGGCGTACTAGCTATCACATAGCGGAGCAGCTGACATGACAAATGCAAAAACGCCTGCCAACAGGAGGTACTGGCTAGTGGCGGTCGGCACGATGTCACGACAACGGACCATGCCGTAAATACGACACCTTCAATCAACAACTAAGAGAGCCATCCAAAGTCTACCCCGGCCCCCTAAAAAACCTAAACCCCAAACCC